ATGAAAATTTAATTGAAATAAATCATGGAAAATATTTAAGAATGAAAAGTTTTGTTGATCTTGATTTAGCTGAAAAAATATATTTTTTTAAAAGAGAATATTTATCAACGAATGAACAATGGATAAATGCAGCATGTGATGCATTACGTTCTCGTCTTCACTTTTTAAATCATATTAAATGTGAAAAGTTAAATGAAAACTTAAATAGAGCTATTGACAATTCTATTGCATCATGTCGTTATCATTTTTTTTCATATGATGGACCAAAATATAAAAAATTATGTTTACCATCAACACCATTTGTTGGAAATTATTTTTATTATCCAAATGGAGAATTTAAACATCCAGATGATATTAATAAATTAATTGAAGATGATATTAATTATCAATTATATGTTATGGCTCATAATGGTTGGATTATGAATGATGATCCACTTAGACATTTTGCTGAACAAGGTTTGTTTTTCTTAACAATATTAATTATTGATTGAGATATTTTCTTTTTCCAATAATAGTCACATTAGATTTATTTTAAAGTTAAAATGATGGTTTTTTTTATTATAAATTTCTCGTTAAATTTTTAACAATAACAGGAATAAAATCTTATATTGAAATATTTATTATTTATTAAAATTGAACTTTTAAAAGCAAAAAAAAAAAATAGATAAATAATAAATAAGATTTTTTTTTGTTAACTGATTCAACTTTTACACAGTTAAATTTAACAATTTGTTCATTTTTTATTTTAATTATAATTAAGATTTTTTATAAATCATATAAAAGGCCACTTTGATCATTTTATTATTTATTATAAAAACAAAAAATTTAAGAAAATTTTATTTTATATTGTTTTGATAGAAAAAAACTAATCGTCGACTTTTCTATTATATTTTATCATACTTCAACTAAATAACATAATAATTAAATTTTCATATAAACAAGATAAAGATCTATGATTTTCATTGTTCGAAAAAGTAAATAAAGATGAATAGAATCATATATATATATATATATATATATTTGTTTTTTATTTTAAAATATTAATAATTAATATAAAAAGGTGAATTTTATTTTAAAGGAGAAGATTGTTATTTACGACGAGATTTAATTCAATGGTCTGATTTAATAAAACTTCGTTTTGGTTCTCGACGTGAAGATTGTCCATCATTATATTCGTATATGAAAGAATATACACGTTTAGTAGCAACAACATTTCATGGTTGTCGTCTTGATAATTGTCATTCAACACCATTATGGTTAGCACAAGAAATGATGGATTATGCTAGAGAAATAAATCCTAATTTTTATATTAATGCAGAACTTTCAACAGGAAATATAAAAAGTGATGCTCGATTTATTAATCAAATTGGAATTAATTCTTTAATTAAAGGTTAATTTATATTTTGTGTTTTTTTTCTTTGTTAAAGAAAAAAAAAGAAAATAATAAGTTAAATTTGTTTAGAATCTCATCGAGCATTTGATCCATATGAATTAGGTCAAATGATATCATTTGTTAGTGAAGGTGATCCAATTGATTC